TTGATTGGTCGCCATAGCTGATTGGACTAGAGTGTGATTACCTTTAATCAAGAAAACAACTTAATGAAAAGCGCAGTAAGAAGTCGAAGACTGGCAAACGCCCGCATTTCACATTGTCTCATAGAACCTTGAGCTCCCGGATGAAGCAGCAAGTATCTAAGTGGATTCAACGTTCGGCCGCGCAGGAAACTGGACAGAGTCAAGCTGTTTGTGTACGTAAGCCACCATCCTCTTCGATCAGCCGAACCTTATTGACTACAAGCCACCGTGTCAAGGTCACTTCTGCGTTTACAATCCTATTATAGCACACCGATTCTCGCCTCATCCGTTTTGCCGAGGCGATTGCAATCAACCACACCAAGCCGCTGCTTTGTGTTCAGAAACAATTATCGGTCAGCATTAAACTGCCGTGGGGATAGGGGTGATAACTCTGATTTCATTATCGGGTGTTAGTCTGTTTGTTTGTTTTCATGAATGTTTAGTCGCACCCTTCAGTGCATAAATCTTATTGCGAGTTATTGTTAAAGACACTGATGAGACAATACGAAATGCGTGCATTTGCCAGTCTTCGTCTTCTAACTGCGCTACTCACATTACTAAGGGGAAATAACTGTTTCAAACTTAATGAAAGTGAATGTTAGTTGGATGCGAGTATTGAGGCTACGAAGACCTAAGCCATTATTGTGTTTCGTCATCAACTGTAAGAACAATAAGCGCCAAGCTAACATTCATTGTTTATTTCTTCGTTGGTCTGCTCTATTGCTGAGAAGGTGACCCGATAATCAAACGAGGAGAATTGCACTGAGTTGTCTATTAGCATGATTAGGCGTTTTCTAAGTATCCGCAAGACCAATGGAAAATGCACGCATCACAAAGTTCCTCCTGTGATTACCGCGTGCTTATTACCTATGGATTTTCCCACTGGCCACTAAGCCTCCGTCCCTCTCTCATGTAGTGGTCACTCAGCGTAGGTCTGTATAGCATTTAATATACGTGCATACCAATGTGTAGAGGTACAGAAATGTTCCGCAGGCATTCTAGTGCGTTTATGTGTGCGATTTCGGACAACATTTATTCACAACTGGATGGCCGAAATCCCTTGGATATTGCTCGGGGAACGGTGTATACACGCATTGGTGTGGCATTTAAACGTGCTGCTCATGAAAATAGGACAAGAGTTATCACATTTACTATATATGTATATATTTCGGCAGTACAAACATATACAACGAGCAATCGAAATCTTGGAATTCAAAGTAAGTTAAAGTGTTCATATTAATACTCGAAAAACCGCAACGAAATCCTAGGATACTTCAGAGAGAACAATACTAATAGATTACATAAGCTAAGACATCTTAGTCGAACTATGTTCCACCCTCCTAGGCTTTTGATGAACAGTCTACCCGCAGGGAAATACCAGGGAATCGCGCCTATTGGGAACCGGTGACCCGTCTTTCATTTGGCCGGTTTCAAAACAAGGTCCAAATTTTTCTCACAATTACGGGGTCATCTTTCTAAATTGGGAACCAAAAGGCAGCGAATTTACTTAGAAATGCATCACGCCAAGTAGCTCTGTATTTAAACAGACATAGGTCATGCAGATTTTGAGCGGTTTTCCGAGCTGAGTGATAGTTGTGCAGACTTTTCGTTGCCTGACTAGGCAACATCATCAGTGCGGTTTCAGGGGCCTGGTTCGCAGTGCCTCGTAAGCGGCTTCAATGTCCAAGTGCTTATTGATCGAATTCTGCTTTGAATGCCAGGCTTCAAGGAACTCACGTGTTTGCCGGCTTTTAGCCCTTCCGAGGATACTGGTATGCTCTATGTCGAATTGATGGTTCTCAGCATCCATGTGCACTGACATCAGGGAGTTCTGATCGTGGCGACGTATGGCTAGGCTGTTTTCGTGTAGCTTTGTGCCAAGCGTTCTCCCAGTCTGTCCCACGTAATACTTGTCGCAGTTCCGACAGCAGATCTTATAAATCACACCAGTTTCTTCTTCTTTGCTAAGTTTATCTTTCACTTTGAAGAGTTTACTGCGAATGGTTTCCGTTGGCTGGTGTGCAACTTTAACTCCAAAAGGCAATAAAAGCCTCGCTGCCATTTCAGATATACCGTTGATATAGGGAAGGGTTGTTCTCTTTTCAGCTGGTACATTTTTCGTGGTGTGTTGAGTAAAGTTTTGTGATGCGAGGCAGCGTAGAATGAAGCCTTTTGGGTACGAGCTCCGCTTGAACAGGTTGAAGAGATGATCTTCCTCTGCCCGTCTCAGCTGCGGTGAGCTACAGTGGGTTTGTGCTCGTTTGAAAAGGGTTTGCACGCAGCTGCCTTTGTGGGCTACCGGATGATTGCTGCCGTAGTTGATGATCTGGTCCGCATGCGTAGATTTTCGGTAGACTGTTGTTTCCAATCGTTCAGCACCAGTCCGTCGTATGAGAAGGTCTAAGAATGGTAACTGTTCGTTGTTCTCTTCCTCCCTGGTGAATTGGATGCCATCGAACACACTGTTGATTAGTTCGTGTGGTTCCTCCAATTTGGAACGTTTGAGGATGACGAAAGTGTCGTCTACGTATCGTACCCAAAGTTTTGGTCTCGCGATCGGGAGTGCTATTTGTTCCAGCGCCTGCATCACTGCCTCGGCTATTAGACCAGAGATCGGCGATCCCATTGGTGTGCCTCTTATCTGTTCGTAAATTTGGCCATTGAAAGTGAAATGTGTTGTTAGACAGAATTCCAACAACTCCATCATCTGTTTGGGTTCGGGTCCACTGTTTGTATCAGACGACGTGTGCTTCTCAACAGGCGCGTCATTGTTTGTTTCGCCAAGCCAATGTCGATTGAAGTGAACAGGGCGGTAACATCGAAAGAGCCCATCATTTCGTTTTGTTCAATGGTTGCGGTTTTAAGTTTTCCAAGGGACTGTTCTGTCGAGTTGATCGAGTGTTCCGATCGCGCGGTTAAGTGTTTAAGCGATCTCCAGAGCTCCTTTGCAAGCCTGTAATTTGGTGCTCCAGGTAACGACACGATGGGGCGAAGCGGCACTCCGCTTTTTTGTACTTTGGGTAAGTCATAGAACCGCGGTAGTACCGAGTTTTGTTGTCGCATCCTCTTGTGTTCCAATTTTGTGTTTTTCCCTATTTGTTCCAGCTTCTGAGGAGTGTGCCTGATGTTGCCTTCAAAGCGTTCTTTGCGGGTCTTCGTGTAGCGGCTGGTATGTGTTGGTATCCCTGAGTAGGTGTTGTGCCTTTATCTTGTAATCATATTTGTCCATTATAACAGTAAGGCGTCCTTTGTCGGCCGGCAGTATAACTATGCTCTTGTCTTTCTTGAGGTTCTCCAGAGCTTTCCGTTCAGCGGCGTTGAATATGTTGGTTCCAACTTTATGACTGAGAGCCGGGATGATTCTGTGTCTGATCATTTGTTGTGCTTCAGGCGCGATGTTGTACGATTTTAGGGTCGATTCAAGTGCAGCGAGAAAGTCGATGGGATTGGAGTCCTTAATATTGAGTTGCATACCTCGGACAATGACTGATTTTTCCGCGTCCGTTAATCCTCTTTTGGATATGTTTGCAATCCAACCATCGTCTTCCTTAGGTGGTTTCTTTTGCGAGATCGAATTCAGCTTCTCTTCAAGCCTCCGTTTGGTGTTTATCTTTGTCTTGTGTGTTTTGACGGCTATCGCTTTTTCCAATTCTTCCGTCAATTGTGATCCTAGTCTGGATAAGCAAATTGCTTTCTAAGTAGATGGAAATTGGGTACTGCCCACCCGAAAACACTGCACAGCCACGACGCGTTTCGATGTAATTTTCCCTCATCAGGTGGAGACAGCAGGATTTGAACCCAGGACCATTGGAATAGCAGCCCACACCACTACCAATTTGGATACAAGGTCACTGAGTGCAACGCTTTTTGTCACAACGGTAAATGCCTAATTGGATGGTCAAGTTTGGACTACACGTTGTGTGATTGGATTGCGACAAGCAACCTCAATGTAATGGACTGTGATCACATTGAAATGAACCTTATGTCCACGCGATCTCGGGGACCGTATTCAAAGGTAGATGGAAATTGGATGTTGCCCACCGAAAACGCTGCACGCACCACGACGCGTATCGATGTCCCTCGTGACCCGGTGCCCAATGGTAGTAGTGGGGCTGCTATTCTATGGTCGTGGGTCCTAATCCGCTGTCTCCACCTGGAGATTAAATTATCATAGATACGCGTCGGTGCTGTGCAGTTTTTTCGGGTGGGGAACACCAATTTCCATTACTTTGAAAAAATAAAAAAAAAAAAAAAAAAAAACAAAAAAATATAATAACTCACATCTGCTTTCGTTTTTGTATTACGGACGCTTTTTTTTGGTTTGGCTTTTCTTTAGTATTTTGTATATTTTGTGTATATCCAGGGTTTGTTGAGCCCCCCCCCCCCCCCCTCTCCCCCAATATGGTCTTATATTCCCCCCCTCTAATCATATTATTCCGCCAACTCCACTCCTCACCACACTACTTAGTATAGAACTAAAACAGTCCCTCCCCTCCTCCCACACTATGTTTTGCATACTCAGCTTTAATATCCCCCACCACCCCATTTGTTTGCCTCTGATCCATGTAGTTTCCTTATTCTTTTTTTTTTGTTTATTGTTTTTTTTTAATTTTGGGGTGGACACTTTGGCATGTTATTGGTTTCGGTTTTTAAGTAGTTTCCTTTGTTTATGGCGTTTTGTATTGGGTGGATGGTAGAGGGCGTTTTTTTTTGGTTTTTTTCTTGTTTTGTTGTTTTTGTTGTTGTTTTTGCTTGGTTACACACGCCGGAGAGAGAACATTTTTTCAGAGTTTGGTAGAGTTGTCTTTGGTGGGCATGGGGTTTGCGGAGACATTCACCCCCGATGGACTGGCGAGTGTTTTGATTGTTGATGGTAAGTCCTTTTGATGGTTTTTATCGCCTGGTGCTGCAGTTCTTGTGCTGTTCTTTAGTGGGCGCGCGGTTGTGTGTGGCGGGCTGGGATGGTGTGTTCGTGTGTCCTTTATGACGTCGCCGCTGGGGGACTAGCGCGCGGGGGCGTGAGCGTTCAAGACTCGAGTCTGGGGTGTTTGTTTGTCTGTCGCTTGAAGATATGGAGGGTGGGGGTGTATGTATGGGGGGTAGGGGGGGGGGTCAAAACCCTCATTCGACTTATCGCAACAGTTTGTTGGGGGTGGGTGGGGGGCCGGGAGGACTACGAATGGGGGGATGGGGGGAGGGCGCGGGCCATTTACCTACTGGTGTTAATGTTTGTGCGGGACGCTCACTTGTCGGGGGTTGTTAATAGTCAAAGTATTGTTGCGTTTTGGTGTAGTATGTGCTTTTGTTGGTTTCGTTACGTTCATTTGTTTGGTGTGGTTTTGTGGTGGGTGGTGGGTTGTGTCTTGTGGCACTCTCAGGTCTGTGTAGTGTCCTCACTACACTCATATTTACCACAACTATTTGGGTTAAATAATTTCAGATGGGGGGGGGGGGTCCACGTTTAATGGGGCGGGGGTGGTGGTTAGTGACAAATCATCTCACCTAGCCGGATCATTTGAGTTTGGGGGGGAGGGGGCGTGGGAGGTTGCACACACGGGGGGTGGGGGCGGGGGGTGTTGAGTGCGCTTTGATGTGGTTGGTGGTGTCTATCGGGGGGTGGTGGGGGGGGTTTGAGGTTTTTTTTGGTATCTTGGCGGCTTGGTATATTTGTTTGGTTTTTTATTAACCTACCCTTTTTTTTTGTTCTTTATATGGCACTTTTTTTTTGTGGTTTTTTGGCACCTGTTTTGGGGGTTGGTGGGGTGTGGACCTGTTTGGGGGGTGTGTGTTTCCGCACTTGCTTCTCAGTTTTTTTGCTGGTTGATTTCTCTTTGTGTTTGTTTTGTTTGTTTGGTTATTGTGATTGTTGCTATTTTTGGCTGTTTTTTTTGGATTTTATCTGGGTGTTGGTTTACTGTGTTGTGGTTGTTGGTGTTGGTTGTTTGTACTATTATTTACTCTTTTGTTTTGTTGTTGGCGTATGGTGCGTTTGTGGTTTGGGTTGTGGGGGATCGGTGGGGGGGTGTGTTTGTGTGGTGGTGGGAGTGGGCCCTTTTGGGGTGGGGGCGGGGGGCGGTGGGATATGTTCAGAATTTGTTGGATTTTTTGTGTTGATTGTTGATTCTTTGAGTTTGTTTGCGTTCTCTTGTGCAGCCTATTATCTGCTGTCTGTTTGTGGGGTTGTTTAAGTGTTGGCGGTGTTGTTTCTGAAACTATTACTATTGCTGGGCTACCATTTTGTTTTTGTTTGTTTCGCTTTTGGGGCTTTTTTTTACTTTTCTGTTTCTTGTTGGTTTTTTGTTTGATTATTTTTTTGGGCGTTTTTGGCTCGACGAGGTGGTTGTT